GCCAGCTTCCACAGCTGCGCTGCTTGCAGTGGCCAGGGTCTAACGAGCCTGTGGTGCTGCAAGGGGACAGCTTCCAACACTGCGCTGGTTGCCGTAAAGACCCTGTGCTGCTGCAAGTGGCAGCTATTCCAAGTTGACTACCCTTTGAAGTAAGCAATGCAGGGGTGAAATTTAGAGAAGGAAGTTATCATTCCAACTTCACTCACCCTTTTGTGGGCAATGCAGGGGTAAAATTTAGACAAGGAAGTGGCCATGCCAAGTTGACTCGCCCTTTTGTGGGCCATGCAAGGTAAAATTTAGAGAAGGACGTTGCCCTTCCAAGAGCGTACAATTTAGAGAAGGAAGTGGCCATTCCAAGCTGCCTCACCCTTTTGTGGGCAATGCAGGGGTAAAATTTAGAGAAGGAAGTGGCCATTCCAACTTGACTCACCCCTTTACCCAGGGTAGAGTTTAAAGAAGATCTTGCCATTCCAATTTGACTCACCCCTTTATGTGGGCAATGCAGGGGTAAATTTTAGAGAAGGAATTCGCCCTTCCAAGTTGGCTCACCCTTTGGTGAGCCACCCGCGGGTAAAGTTTCAGAAAACGAACAGAAGGATGTTGCCATTCCAAGCTGCCTCACCCTTTTGTGGGCGATGCAGGGGTGCAATTTAGAGGGTAAAAATTAGAGAAAGAAGTGGACATTCCAACTTGACTCACCCTTTTGTGGCTAATGCAGGGGTAAAAATTTAAAAAGGAAGTGGTCATTCCAACTTGACCCACCCTTTTGTGGGCAATGCAGGGGTAAAATTTAGAAGGAAGTGGCCATGCCAAGTTGACTCACCCTTTTGTGGGCCATGCAGGGGTTCAAGTTAGACAAGGATGTTGCCCTTCCAAGCTGCCTCACCCTTTTGTGGGCAATGCCGGGGTAAAATTTAGAGAAGGAAGTGGCCATTCCAACTTGGCTCGCCCTTTTGTGGCCATGCAGGGGTAAAACTTAGAGAAGGATGTTGCCCTTCCAAGTTGACCCACCCTTTGGTGAGCAACCCGAGGATAAAATTTAGAGAGGGAAGTGGCCGTTCCAAGTTGACCCACCCCTTTATGTGGGCAATGCAGGGGTAAAATTTAGAGAAGGAATTGGCCGTTCCAAGTTGGCTCACCCTTTGGTGAGCCACCCGCGGGTAAAGTTTACAGAAGGATGTTGCCATTCCAAGCTGCCTCACCCTTTTGTGGGCAATGCAGGGGTAAATTTTAGAGAAGGATGTTGCCCCAAGTTGACTTGGCTCACCCTTTGGTGAGCCACGCGCGGGTAAAGTTTACAGAAGGATGTTGCCATTCCAAGCTGCTTCACCCTTTTGTGGGCAACGCAGTGTAAATTTTAGAGAAGGATGTTGCCCCAAGTTGACTCACTCTTTCGTATCAAAATTCAATGAACTCCAGATGCAAGGGTGTTCCTTGTCCCCTACAAAAGCTTTCATTAGAATAGTGATGCTTCATTAGACTAGCAACTATATAAAGCTTTGGAAAGGTGATGTCGTTGCGCCATGCCGTTTTTGTGTGACCTTGGTGGAAAGTGCGTTTGCGTAGATATCCGTGCCATTGGGGGAAGGAAAGCCTGCTGGTGTAAACACGCCGTGTCATGGTGGATAGACAGGGTGGACAGAGGTGAGCAGTTGCGGTTGTTTTTGGAACTCAATTTAAAAAACTCCTCCAAAATCGGCCGTGTTGGTCGTTCAGTAGCGATTTGCAAGGGCGGCCATTTAAACACCAAGCGAGGTAACTTTTGCACGCCCCGGGGAGGACCTTTTCCGTGTAGGGGTACGATCTGCAAATAGGCGCGTTCCAGCGTAGCGCATTTGTCATGGGCTTCCCAACATTAAAGCTTAGAGGAAGAAGGATATGCCAAGATATTCCACCATAAAGTGCAGACGACAAGGAATACCTTTTGTGTGTTAGCCGAGGATAAACTGTATGTGGAAAGGCGAAGAACTCTTAAGAAATTATACTTTTTCTTTCCACTTTTTGCACTGCTCCTTCTCCTTCGTTTCGTTTTTCTTCTCTCTCTCTCTCTCCCTTTCTCTTCGTGCTACATGAAATAGTTGAAGGTAGCGTACGTATATATTTGTTCAAAGCCCAGGAACCGGAAGAACACCTAAAGCACGCCTAAGGACAAGAAACCGAGCCTAAAGAAACCCGAAACCAGTGAAACCCACTGTTCCCTCCCTTTCTCTCCATCACGCTGGCTTTGGCGCTTCGTCCCCTACCCTTTCTGCTGCTCCTAGTGCTTGGAAAGCACTCCCAGCAGAAGCCAAAGCAAAAAAAAACCAAAACAAAAGCAGTAGGGGAAAAAAATGGAAAAAAATTCCCGGAAAAAATTTGAAAAAAATTCCCGGGAAAAATATCCACCCGGGATGAACTGTAGTAGAATCTGGAGAATTGCGCAGGAGTTCTTTCTTTCAAAAGTGGTTTTTGAATTTATTTGTAGAGAACATTTCACTTGGAGTACAATTGAATCATGAGGTCCCAAATCCCACAGACGTTCCTATTGTCCAGAACGCCGGAACCACTGCAGTTCCCGCACCCCAGGAGTACAATCGCTTTCTGATCACTTCATGGTACGACCTGCGGGGCAGCTCAGGGGTTTTGGCTTCGATTTCCTCATGAACGGTCGGGCGTTGGTGTCGGCCCATCACACCCGGCCCTGGTGTGTGGTGTCAATGAACCACCCAGAAAGTGGTTCTTGGGGTCTGGGTCTTTTGAACGATGACGTGCAGAGTTTGTTAGATTGGTTGACATATGTTGACATGTCTTTGGAACTTTGGAGGAAGAAATTGGTGTGTGTTTTAATAGGCAGGCAACCACCCAATGGGTTTTGGATTGGTTTTGGTCTATTTTCCTTCTTCCAGGGGGTCTTTGGGAGCTCCCTATTTAAATACACACCCAAATCTGAAAGCCACAGATTGGGACACTCAACCGGTCTTCCCTGCATGTTTGTTGTAAACTGGCAAGTGCTGCAATTCCATCACACGACCATTTTGCTTCCATTGGGGTTGCCTGGCAGCTTCAACACATCTGATGGACCAACTTGGACACTCAGCAGTGCATGTGGGCACTCTTGCATGAACACCATGGACCAAAGAAAGAACAACACATGAATCAAACAACCATCCCAGCTTCTCATTTTAGACCAAGTTTGGACCAATATGGATCCTAATTTAGACTGAACAAACATTTGTTTGTTTGCAGAACAGCTCTTTCAACAACGCGTGACTCCAACGACTGAAACCGGCGAGTAGGTGTGAAAGCCAAGACGTGTAACTGAAACATGGCTTTACTAGGTGACCCGGAATTTCCTGGACAAATCGTGGCACTGGACTTATTTTGCTTATACTGACAATCAACCACATCTCCTGGCCAAAACCAAAGGAAGCCACCAGAAAAACCAGGTCAACAAGGGTAAACAGACCCACACAAGTGTGGACCCGGTGGGCCTTCCACACCGGACCCCAAACACCGCTTTGTGTATACCCTCGAGGTATGCCACCTTTTGGCATCTCATCAGCGGTGAGAATCCCAAAGGCACGGACGACGGGCCGGACTCGGCGGCGGCGCCGGAGAGCGGCAAAGGCACAAAGGAGTCCGTGGTTTGGGAGAAATGCTCATCGGTTTCAGATGATGAGTTGAGTGGTGAATGGAGGGTTTTCCTCCCAGGTGGCCCCGTTGACGGTCCGAAACAGAAGCACCGGATGTGGAACCTACGGATGTGCCGGTGACGTTCTCGATCGACCTCGTCCTCGATCGACGCCGGGCCGCTGGGGGCCGCATTTGGCACTTGGATTGGCGCTACATCTTTCTGTCTTGACATATGGGCCATATGGGTGTAACATGGGTGTGTACTTGATATATATATATATATTATAAATATATATATAATATATAATATATATAATATATAATATATATAATATATAATATATATAATATATATATTATATATTATATATATTATATATTATATATTATATATATTATATATATTATATATTATATATATATACCTGGAGTCTCAAAGTACCTCGGAAAATGGGTACAAGTACCTGTTTTTTAGGGGTCATGTCCCATTTTCCAAGGTACTTTGGAGGGTCTAGGTATACATATGTATAATAGGGAGACCCTCTGTCTCGCGCCCCCGGCTGGGTAGACTGGCTGATTTTCCGAAGCTTCCAGCATCTTGCAGGTCGAACAGTCGTTGCCTGAACCGATCTCCCTATTGTTGCCCTGGGCACATCTGTGCGCTCTGCTCATCACCGGATCAACTTGCACTACACCCCAGGTATTCGCCCGTCAGACGGAGATCCCAGTTACCTCTTGTGGCCCAGGAGAGGCGCAAAATCGTTTCCAACCTGTCAGGGATGCCCGGGACGTGACGACGTGAGGTGACAGGGGTGAACGTGATGTGGACGAAACGTGTCAGGCGGGTTGATCTAATTTATATCTACTTCATTATCTTCATTCATGAATGTGCCTTCTATGGAGTCATGATGAGTTATGATGGGCAATGATGGGAAGTGGGTTTTTGCATTTGGGGCCCTTACAGCTACACTGAGTCAAAGAGACATACAGAAGCTATCCCAGGAAGCTTTCGATCATGATATGTCTCTACCGGCTGGGGTATAGAGTTTAGAGTATTCTTGAAACTCTATACAAGAATCCATTGGCTAGGGATTCGAGCCACACACCAAATTTTGATTTGATGCCCTTCTGGAGCCTGACAGTGAAGACCAGGATGGCAGATGAGCCAGGAGACCCTCTACGAGTTTAAAGGGTTTGCCTACCTCCCCACAGCCGCTGGGCGCTAGCCTGCGCCGGGCGCCCCCAAAGATGCGCTCACTTGGTGGAGCGGCCAAAAACTCAAAGACTCAATGTATGTCATCTAGTTTCAGAGTAGATGGCACAATCCTCAAGATGTCAGATGGGGATTGTGCCACGGGTTCCATCTAAACTGTGAGTCGTTCTTCAGGTGCGTCACTACACAGCGGCCACACCACCTGCGAACCCGTGAAGAGTCGAGTGGGGGATGCCACCCCGTTCATATGGTTATACTGGCTGGTATAAATAGAACCGATCAACTAATAGAGATGTTGAACCATCCACGCTAACATGCGGTTGTTCTATTTGATATGTCTTACTTCCTGGACTTTTTGCCGTCTTCTGATATTGCCATAACCAGAGGTTGTTTGCGTAGATTGGTTTGCACTCAAAGTATTCCGGTGATGCCCCGGATTGATCGAGATTACAGCCTGCTTGTTCCGCAGGAACTCCCACGGCAAATCTATACAAGCATGACGATTCTGCAATCCTTGGGGAGTCAGTGCATAGCCTTTAACTTTTTGTTGCCAATTGATTTCCTCACCTTACCAGAACCGATGGACAGAAAATGCAACGGCTCGGTTTAGGTGTAAACGGTGTAAACCTGCTCACATGCTTTGGAGATTGTCCAGCCCTGGACACGTGAGCTGATCTCGCTAGCTGATCTCAGGATACCCCAGACCAGTGGGCGCAGTCACTCCTGGTGAAAGGCTCCAAAGAGAGGCGCCGGCGGGGTGGGTCGAGTCGCTGTGGCTTGAATTGATCACACCTGATTTTGTGTTCATTTGGTTTGAGAATAGTTTATCAGAATGTTTGTTCTGGTGGTGTGAACGTTCGTCATATTATCATATGAATCTTCCAGGAGTTTGGGAATGTGTGTCGTCAGTGTGGAGTCCAATCAAGAAGCCTCAAACGCTTGATCATGGGTAGAAATCCCAGCCTCCCTAGCCTCCCTTGCCCCAATTTCCTAGCCTCCCTAGCCCAGAGAAGCACAAACATCTTGACCTAAAAAGGTGTCCAAGTTTACACGAGGTGGATGAGCGGGGTGGCTGAGCTGGCAAAGCCATTCCATCCTTTCCCATGCACATCAGCCACTGGGAGAGGTGAGTGCGGCTACAAGCGTCTCCTATTGTACCCACCCTAAGAGGTTTAACCTTGGCAACTGACTTCTCCCACTGACAAGCCCTGCAGGGCAGATTGTTCGTGCCACCCAATGGACAGTCTGCCCCACCCAAATACCTTCACTGCGCCGTGCTTGGGCAGCGGACAGTCAGATCTGCTGAGAAGGTGAACGTGAGCGCGGTCGCGGTCAACACTGCTCCAGGGGGACCACACCGCATCAGCCATTCGTAGCCCGGACCTGGTCGTCAGGACCTGCACACAAGCGGGCGTACCCTTGTGGCACTGTACCTGCGCACGCAGCTGGGAAGGCGTTCTGGGCCTGTTAGACTGGCATGCCCGAGGTAACATCAACAGCAAGAGGCGATATATAGTTGCTCGGAGCAAGGAAACTTCAAGGAACAATGAAATTTTCCTCTATATATAGCACGTGGATACGTTTTTGGGCTATTGCCTCACTAAATTGCAGTGGTTTGGAGTGGGAAGAGTCGTTTGGTCGTTTTAAAGGTGGCTTCCAGAAGAAGGGCTGTGCTAGAACCCGCTCCAGGCTCCAGGCCTTTAAAGACACATGACCTACAAATCATCTCAAATCCCCTCTTTGATTTGCCAAGCCTGAGATGACAGGTTGTTCAAGGAGCAAACACCTTTTTTAATTCAGGGATTTCAACTTTCAACCTCTTGCAATTGGGTGAATGGGCAGATCAAGGAGCAAGTACTGCTGCAAATACTTGTGAGATCTTGTGAGTGAGTGAGTGAATCCCAAAAAATACTCCGCTGGACCTTGGCAGTGATACACCAAACAACATGCAACATTCCTCGTGTTGAGCCTGTGCCCTAAAGGTGATGCAAAACGATCGCTGACCATTGATGCCACAAATCTGGCTGGCTTCTCATGTGATGACAGCAGAAAGCACAGCTGCACCGCACAGCACGGCCGCCGTTGGAAAGTCCCGCTCGCCAGGTTGGTGTCCTTTAGCCCATCGTGGGCAAGAGGAGGCCGTTTGCCGTCGATCGGACTCGGAAGGTCGGGACGAAGTCGGGACGAAGCTAAGAGGGTTTGGGGTGTTGGAATAGCCCCCACCTGTTTGGATGTGTCTATTTCCTGGAGCTTCCAGAGGGTCGCCTGGAAATGTCTCCCTTTTTGGAGGACACACTCATTTGGTTGGGACGTTTGGGGCATGCTGGCAGTCGAGGTGAGCCAGGAAGAGCTCCTGGAACCATGAAGTTGCTGTTCCCCTTGATCTCCCTGCTCAGCCTGGTGAACCTGTTCATTAATTGCTACTATCCCATTCCTTGGACCCATCCTCTGGATTTGCTGGAGGAAGTACTCATTGAGGTCGCAACAGGCCCAATGGTTTGAGGTACGCTCACACATGTTCCCTTTGAACAGCTTGCTGCAAGGTGTCTTCCCCTACCTGCCAGTTGAGGGTTGTTAGATTGTATCAGAGCTGTCCCATTTCACGCCTTCTCCCTCTCCTCCTCCTCCTCCCTTTTCCTCCTTTGTCTCCGGGTCCTCAATCGCCAGTGCTAGATCGCAATGGGCACCACCGGACCTCAAACGCCAGTGCTGGATCTCAGTGGGCACCGCCAGACCTCAACCACGAGCACTAGATCACAGTGGGCGCACCGCCTGGCCTTAACCGCCTTAACCGCGAGCGCTGGATCTCAGTGGGCACCACCACACCTCAACCACGAGCGCTCGATCACAGTGGGCACCGCCAGACCTCAACCGCAAGCACTAGATCACAGTGGGCGCACCGCCTGGCCTTAACCGCAAGCGCTGGATCTCAGTGGGCACCGCCGGGCCTCAACCGCCAGCGCTCGATCACAGTGGGCACCGCCGGACTCCGGACCTATCTCTGGCCCCCATCTGGAACCCTTTATGACAGTCTTGATTCTTTCTGACATATTTTCTGGCACTCTATCTGGCATCGACTTTGGCATTCTATCTGGAATGATTTTTGACAGTTTATGACATTCTTTCTGGCATACATTCTGGGACTCTATCGGACTTTTTTAAATTGCATTCTGGCTCGCAGAAATTCCGGCATTCTCAGTGGATGATATTACTATATTACTGTTGTTATTACCTATAGTCTTTCTGGCATACATTCCGGTCTTATATTTGTTGTATTTTTTATTGGGCTGGGTATTTTTTGCTCTATAGTTTTTTTATGCGGAGATATGGACGGGTGCTTTCAGACCAAGGGTGCTCTTTTGTATGCTCTGGGCTCCTTTTCCGATGCTGCTGGTGTCTTCTCGTAGGCTCGTGGTGCTTTTTCTTATACTGAGAGTTCTTGCTTTTATGCGCATGGTTGCTTTCCTTATGCAGACGGTTCCTTTTTGTATGCTGGGAGGTGTCGGCCGCCGTCGAACAGAATCCTGCTGCAAGGGGACCCGTCAAACATGTTTGGCTATAGAGGCGTGCGTCAAACAGAATCAGACCGACAGTGCCTTTTTGTATGCTGCATCGGGCCAGGTGTGGACGGTGGCCGCCAAACAAGATCCTTCTGCAAGCTGGGCCGTTTAACCAGAATCCTTGGCTGTAGAGGCGTGCATCAGATGCCGACAGTTCTTTTTTGTATGCTGGAGGTCTCCGGGCAAAATCCTTCTGCAAGAGGGCCCGTCAAACAGAATCCTGGGCCAT